TATTCATTTTTAATATCAGATCAAACGGATAAAGTATTATCAATGAACTCTCAATATTTTTTCACACACATATACACACACAGTCCTAGAAGGTTTACTTTTGTAACCACGTTGAAGTATTGGTAGCTATATTGTGCCTTTTAGTGTGTACGAATAAGAAAATATAATGCAAATACATACTATGGAATTGCGGGATTTACAAAATAACTAAGTTACTTATTTATGAGTTTCAACTACTATGTAACAATATTCATGTATATGTTATTTATTTTATAAAGATTTTTCTCTTTTGCAAATGTTCTTTACTGTCTTTACCCAAAACCCTGTTTCAGCAATAGTTTTACTTCAACAGAATGCTTCGTACTGTTTGTTGTGTTCGATAAACTCTACTTAACAGATTACATTGCTTAAGATCGCTAAGTAAAATGTTGTTTAAACTATGATACAAGGTAGAAGATAAAAACTGAATGTTATAGCTTTATTTGATAATATTATAATGCCTTACAAATGCACGTGGCAGTGTAGCTTCATTATATAACATGGAAATTCAGGTATAAGATTTTACAAATGTAAAAATCTTACAAATTAAAAATTGATACTGTTATGTACAAAAGTGTTTTACAACAGTGTTTCAGAATGACCTAGCTAATGAATATACACAGTATAATTACAATCATGATGTTCCCTAAGCAATATCTGGAAAATAGTTGATACACAACTACATAATGTACAACCAGAAACAATTTATTTAACAATTTGTACTGTTACATTCTGTCCTGCTCTCTTTGTATTCGAGCACTATACGTATTTAAAACAAGATTGTACGCATCCATATATCGGTCCATACACATTGCTACACATTTCTGTAAATAAATATAAAATAATTGATCCTCTCAATACGACTTCCATACTTCTTTTGGTACTTAATCAAATTTTCGATAAATATTCTGTTCTGAATTGAATAATTCTTATTAAAATATAAAAAGCATTCTGTAATCTTATAGAAATAAATGTGACCAAGTCTAGGTGCCACGAAACATTGAAATCAAGGAACAATACAATAAATGAACGATTTTTAAAGAATTGTATTCTGTGGAAGGGTTATAGCTACGGATGAAAGAGGTTACCTGTTCTGAACTATCCAAAGAAGTGCCAGGCCTGACTACGCATTTTCTGAAACATTTCTCGGACATTTTCTGAAAATATGAAGCGGAACATCCGCTATTCATTCATGTTAAGTGTCGAAAATAAAAAATAAATGTACTTCTCTATAACCGTACCGTGATCAATTCGTTCGCGTTTGCTACAGCAACTTGCTGTTTAATTTGTTCCATAAGTTCACTCTTTTCCCTGTCAGACAAAGACTCAGATGCAAGGGCGTTCATATTTACAGGCGATTGTTAAATAGTTTCTATTTATTTAGTAATACTAGAAAGAAAATCACTTTGCCCCCCTTAATTATTCCGAAATTTCTGTGTCCGCACCGGTTCGATCGATCAACCGGAAGCACGTGAAACTGCATCTTAAAATGTCGTTTACAATAAGCGAGGAACGGAAGCTAGCATATATATAAATGTTAATTAAAATTTATAATAACTATTGGATTAAACAAATAAAAATAATTGAAATTTAAATAGAAAATCCCTATCTATTTATAAATTAAATATAAATTATAATTA